GAAAAGGCGAGATGGGACAGCCTTTTAACATCCGTGGCGAGCTCCTGAAGTGTTTCGGTAGGGCTTTTGTTGACGAGATTTTAATTGGAGTCCTGCTGTAGTCTTTTGAACACTTCTCGCCCAAAGCGCAGCTCCAAAGCGCACGGACAGAGCTTCGAAATCTAACCTTTTGTAATTCGGGAAGAGTCTGAAGGATATCCGGCTGCGTATGGCTTTTAAAGAAGCGGCGAGATGACAGGCCTTAGCTTGGGAATCCCATCCATTCGCATCCGCAACGATAGAAAATGGGTCTTGTACACTTGCCAGGATGTCTTCCCATCATATGTGGATAGCTTCAGAAATGGACGAGCAGGCATCGGTAAGAATTTAAAATCATCACTCTTGCTCCCTGCCGTCGCTACGAATTTCTTGAACGTTTCCATTTCTTTGGCAACTGCAGAAACTCTCATCAATTTGTTGTTCGATTGGTGTTGGACGGCACAAACTCTTCCTTCAATTCGTTCCTCCACAGCCGAAACTCTCCCTTCTATATGTTCTTTTACAGAAGAAACTTTTTTTTTTTCTATTTTTCTTTCACCGAAGAAACTCTTTCTTCAATTTGATCTTTTACAAAGAAACTTTTTCTTCAATGTGTCCAACTTATTTTCAACTGTGTCAATTCTGCCTTCCATAGCTTCAAATTTATTTTCTATTATGCAGGTAATTTCTCTTTTCATTTCTTCTTGACATGCTTCAATCTTTTGACCAGCTTGAACGGCTTTCATTTCGTCCTTAACGGATTCCTGGCCCAATTTTTTCCTTAACGGATTCCTGGCCCAATTTCATTTTTCTTAACGGATTCCTGGCCCAATTTCATTCTTCCTTAACGGATTGACGGCCCCTTCCCTTTCCATCTTTTCTTGGAAAGCAGCAAATGCAGTCTTCATTTGCCTGAATTGTTCTTCCATCGCTCTTGTTATTGGCATTCAAATCCCACTTCTGACACCAAAAATTGTTGCGTGCGTACGGGTTCGTTATGAAATGAATGCACAAGTCCGATGAAAAAAATGAACAAAAATTTATTATTATCACAACAAAATGCTTAAATTTCTCAAATTATCACGCAGTAGTATACAATATCTCACAGTAGTTATCTTTTAACTACTCAAATGTCCAATAGAACGTAATTCAAAACAGCTAAAGAACGCTAATCCGCGAATTCGCTACAATCAACAACAGTAGTTTTTTAAACAACAACAAACTAAGCAACTGCTACAACTGAGATGTTTTCCTCCTCCTTTTATAAGATTTTAAAATCACGCGCTAGAATTTTCCAGTACTTTCTCGAAATCAAAAAGAGATATTTATTTATTTAATGCACGCGCTCTTGTATTTTCAATTTTCCGGCTTAGCTTTCTTTTAATATTCGTCACGCGCTGCACTGCGCGAGAAATAAAACCATTTAATTTCTAATTGAACTAACATTAGCTTTTTAAATACCAAATTCGTAACAATACGTAACATTACAGAGTTTGATTTTTTTTTTCTTTTTGGTAAATATAAACTGGCATCAAACTCCTAACAGACTTGGAGCAAATTATTGTTTCATCTGAAAAGAATTACAGAGTCTTGAAAAGGTTTAAAAATATCTTTTTATTAAATTAGAATTTTAACATAAACTCATGACTCGTGCTAAAAGAAACAACCGTCACTTGTGGCGATAAAACTTAAAGTAACAGTAAATTCAAATTTAAAACTAAACCTAATAGTCAAAATCATTGGATTTAATGCGAAATTGTCTCAAAACTTCTCACCGAAGTAATAATTTAAATGTTGGCAGTAATAATGAAAAGCCGAAAAATTACAATCTCATCAGAGCTGGCGAACCTAACAACGTGGCTTCGAAAGGCAGAAATAGTCTAATTCTCCAACGAAAGATGTTTTTTGAATAACTTTGGCAGCGGGAAATGCCCATTATGACTTTCTGACCCACATTTTAGATCTAAAATCTTCCAGTTCTGGTTAAAGATCTCAACTCTAATTTTCATTGCAGCTAAAGAAAAAGGATCTACATGTAAACCCTCGAAACTAGGCCTGCAAATTTATGAATATTATGTTGATGCTTGTTGTTTTAACACGTCCAGTAACATGTTATTTATTCAAGAAAATTACACAGTGTAGATTTTTACGAAAAAAATGAAGTATTTCAGCTGCTTTAAAATGAAAATATTGTTTCTAAACGAATTGAAAGTAAGTTAATTAAATTTAATTTCTAAAACTGCAAAAGTATTGTAGCAACATTAAAATTTCATAGCTTAAGTATAGTTATCACATCGTAAACTAAAATTCCAATTATACATCTTTCTCAGATATACGTCTTTTTTTCGATGTTTCCTTGATAGATGCATAGATAATGTTTTACTGTATTTGTAAATTTCTCTTACTAGGAGTATATCAGCGACACGAAGAAACCTGCCAGAAATGATTCTATTCGTCGAGATCTTTCCAGATTTACATCTGATTCTTCAGCCTCTGCGCCCACTTTGTACAGACAAGTCTCTGAAGATAAAGAAGTTCTTCAACTATATGGTTCTGTCCAAACGTGCTTGAAAAATACAAAGTTGGTGAGTATACGAATACGAATATTAAGAGGGAACTAGCTATATGAAATATGAATTGTAAATAAATGAAGAACTTAAACACCAAGTTAACAGAGTGAAACATAAAATTTATTGTTGACTACTGTTTTGCTGGAACTCTGATTCACAAGTAAAATCAGTCTTATCCCTAGTGATTAGAACGTTTTCTCACAGGGCGCATTTTGTGGCTTGGAAGATATTTAATAAACATTCAGTTTGATGCCAAGCTTAGTCAATATCTCTGCAGAGAAAAAAGAATCATCCATTATCAGCTTTCCAAGACTTTGACATTAGGAACATATGCGTCGCGCACTTAATCTGTGCCGTTAATACCGAGACGAATTCTACAGGAATTTTGTCTAGCGATTCTGTAGGCCTATTGTGAGGGACCATCGCATCTAATCTATATCTCAGGAAAAATGGCATTTATTCACAAATTTTTCATCCTCTTAATGATGTTGATAAAGTACCATCTTGCTCAAAGTTAACTAGAGCTAATATACACTCATGTCCATAAATTAAGGATAATGCAAAATCAGGCAAAGGAAGAGTTAGAAGCAAAAATAATTTGACTTATTTGTAAAGCTTACTTATTAAACAAAAGGTAAAGAGCAAAATAAGATGCTATATGTTTGATATTATAAAAAAAATTAGTGATTTTTTCTCCCTCGAGCAAATTACAAAAAAAAACTATTTACAAAAAACCAATATTACATGGTTGGTATGATTGTTAATACATTATATGTCTCCCAGACGATGCAATACAGTCCGTACAACGCTTAGGCATGCTGAGTATCAAATTATCAATCTGATCTTGGGGGATATTACACCACTCAAAAAGCAATGTTCTCCGAAGTTCCGGTAGACATGTAGGAGGAGGTTGACGGGCTGCAACTCGTCGGCCAAGCATGTTCCACACGTGCTCTACTGGATTCAAGTCCGGCGAGAATGCTCACCAGTCCATACGGGTGATATCCTCCGATTGAAGGCATTTGCTTACGATGTTTGCACGGTGAGGATGGGCGTTGTCATCCATAAACACAAATTGTGCGCCCATGGCGCCCCAAAACAAACGTACATGTTGTTCCAGAATGACGTCCCGATAGATTTGGCTTATCATGGTTCCAATTTGAACATGCAGGTCAGTTCTGGAACCCAGAATAATTCCACCCCAAACGAGCACTCATGCACCACCATAACGGTGTCGTTCAATGATGTTTTCTTGGTGATAACGGGTACCTGGAGCTCTCCATATGAAAGTTCGTCGAGAATCAGACTGCAAGCTAAACCTGGACTCGTCGGAAAACATCACACAAATTCAGTGTCCACAATGCATGCTCTCTACTCCAGGCTAACCGCAGGCGACAGTGAGTTGCAGTAAGTGGAACGCATCTGACAGGTCTACGAGCATATAGACCAATCTACCCTAAGCATCTGTACACGGTCTGCCTTGAATTTGTCGTACCAGTGGCTGAAGAGAGCTGAGAAGACAGGTCTGAGGCTGTGCTCCGCCTGTTTCTTTTGGCAGTAACTGCCAAATACCGGTCCTCATTCGGCGTTGTAACTCTGGGGCGACCTGTGCTGTAACGTCTATTCACATTACCATCATCCTGGAATCGTTGCCAAAGCCTGGAGACACTCTGGGCGATTCCAAGTTCGTATAATACTTCCAGTTGGGTACGCCCACATTCCAGACGTCCGATAATTCTACCACGTAAAAAATCATCCAAATGCGTACTTTGTGTCATAACTATTCGGTTATTGCACTGAAATGCTTATAAAGCGCCGGCGAACAAATTTACGTCTTTGCCTGTATTCCTTATATATCACTCTCTTACACTCTCGTCATTGTGACGTACCATCAGTGTCATCTGGTTACTTCCTGAAATTTGCATATGATTCTTGAAGATGTGTGTAGTGATTTTACAGGTGATATGTTTATTTTAGAGTTCGATTTCCGCGTGACTCCTAATTATCCTTAATTTATGGACATGAGTGTATATTTAAATACGTTTCCTTAAAGGTTCTTACGAATTCAGAGACTCTGAAAATAATGGCAATTTGAAAAGAAAGATTCAGTGACTTTGGCATTGAGAAAAGTTGTAACAGCTTATAATATGCTGCTTCAACAACTAATTCATTCTAATTTATGGTGATAAATTAACTAATTTGTTTAATGATTTTTTTGCTAATCTGTGAAATGTCTGTGAATAATCTGTGAAAAAGCAATATCAGGTTAATATTCGATGAGGAAAATAATCTAAATGCAAACTTAAAATAACATAAGATTATTAATTTCTTATAAAACGAAAAAATCCCTTCGTTGTCTATTCGTTTCCAGCATGATTCACTACTAATGAATATTATTAATATATAGGAAGTGGACAATTATTTGGAAGTGTTCTTGAAGTACAATCACCTGTGGAAGAAGATACGAGATGAGGAGATCAAAAATTTCATGAATACAAGTAGAGAGCTCGTAGAATTCGAAGACAAGATAAAGTACTACCTTCAAGTTAAAGAGAATGTTGAGAGGGAAGTAAATGAGACAACTGTTGGATGTATTAGACTGTTTCTAAGTAAATAAATTTTTAATTTTATTTAGAGCAAATGGATGAATCATTATGAATGAATAATAATACAACGCTTAGTGATTGGATGTAGTTTTAAAAAAGGAACGAGTTACTGGTTTAAATATCGTTTAAAAACTGGAAAAAATATTGAAAAATACTTAAAAATACTTACAAAGAAAAAAACTTAAATTAAATCGCCTGTAATATGCTTTTTTTAACGTTATTTCTGTACCATTTACTTCTTTTATCGCTACTGAGGTGCAAAGATTGGGGGGCCTAGCCAAAGCCACCTATAAACAGGGGACTTTGGCCTAGCTGCTTGGTTACCAGTGGTGCCATCTATATTTGGTACTCAAAAGCGACTGCTTTCCATATAAGACCTTTTGAAGTTATTAATGTTAGTGTTTGCCGACAGCTAGCAAGAGCTAAATCCGATGCTCATTTGTTACTCTGCTAATGCCAAGACCCGCACTTGGAATGTAGCATGACATCTCGAATAGTTAAGCTAAAAGTGCACTTTTGAGCTAAACTATTGGTGTATTCATGTTTTTTACATAGGCGATGTAGGTGCACCTATACCTCAATAAATCTTTGAATACGAATTCGTATATTATGCAAGTAAGTACCAGAAAGTAGGGCAGATTTGGATTCATGTTGCAGTATCAATTAATTTTACAAAGTTTTAAGAGGATCTCTGTTTTATATACAATAGAAACCCAATTTTTCGAGATAACTTTGACAGAGACATTTTCGATAACACTTTTTTTTTTTTTGGAATAAACAATAGGAATTAATTCTGATATTTGAAGTTAGAAATATACGCGCATCTCATTATTAAACAAAAGTATTACCATACAATTACATATCCCCTAGTGTGAGTCCGAAAATGTCGAATATTATTTCTCGAAACAGAAGATATTCGATAATCTCGTACATGCTTAAAATATCGCGAATGTACGAGTTATATACTTTCGGCTACTTTTCATAATAACCATTTCCTGCTCAACAATAAGTGGAATAATGCACTTCAAACTATGAGCTGGCGCTTGCTGTTTATTTTTTTCCCACAGACTAAAATATTACATTTAGGTGTTTAGTTCATTTCCCTCTTTACCTGAAAGTAGTATATGTAAATTTTTCAGGACTAGTTTCAAGGGTTTAAACACAGAACCATCTTTCTCAGCTGTCTAAGTGCAAATGAACGAAATAAGATTCTGTATTTAAAGCATTGAAACTGCAAAATTTTCAAATATTACGTTGATTCTTGTTGCTTGACGTCTTCAACAATCGTTATTCGGGGTGTTATTTTAACCTTAATAATGTAAGTATGCAATTAAAAAACTGAAAAAAATTGGTTCTCAGTATACAGTTTGTAAGATTTTATGTTACTTAACCCAATTATATTATTATTTTACTTTAATTTCTACTTTCCTCAAACTCCATCAGGAAGCAAATTATTTAATATATTTAACCACAGAGTTCTTGAAAATCCGCTTTATAAAGCTTCGTTAGCCGTTATTGCTTCGTAAAACTGAGGCCGGAGACAAAGCTTATTTAAGAGTGCGTAACATTCGTATTTAATATTTTAATTCGAGTTAAGTATTTTTTTTTTTTTTAATTTCCCGTAAGTTTCGGAGATTTGATTTACTGTCACTGCTGTCAGTTGTGTATAACGTGTTAACAAAAAGGTTTATTTCAAACATACACCTGAGTTTGTGTTTATTGTATTGTAGAAGTAAGATGGGGCAATAAGTTTTGGTTCTAGGAGTGGACAGTTATAGTACGGAACCGTTCAAGTTAACGAATATTACTTTTCTCCATTGTTTCCTTCGATTAATACACTGAGTTATTGAAGTTCTGAGAAGCGAGGTTTTAATGCATAAAAGAAATATTTCTTTTTTGCCCTAAAATAATTATTTACTTCATAACAAAATTAATGATTATAGAATACTAGGCTTCTAGGATAAAAAATTCAATGCGTAAATGTATTGTTCTCATGTAACTATTATAATTGCATGAAATGCGCATACATAATTATTTTTGTATTTCTAAGGCCCAGTGCAAAAGCTTTTAAAAATTGAGACATGGAAATGGTGCGAAGCTTTTGGCGCAGCTTGTCGTAATAAATACAAAGATGAGATGGAGAGATGTGACAAAGAAATCAAAGGATTCATGCAGAGGTTGAATCAACCGTTCAATACTACCGAAGAGATCAAAGAATTAATTTCTGTTCTAGAGGAGATACGGGAAAAGGAAGTGGATATTGACTTCGCTATTACTCCAATAGAGGTTAGTGTACACATAAAATGTTAGATATAAATATTAATATTGCTGGGAAAAAAAGACTGCTTTTTAAGCAAAGAAATTTTTGAACTTTAAAAACAGAATTATACGTTATAAAGGCAACATCTGCAATTTCAGTATCGGATGTTTCTTCTTGTTGCCTTTGTACTATGTTATTCTGTGCTTTTCTTTTATTATTCTTGTACTACATACTTTTGTTATTGTACTATTCACACTTGCTATTGTGTAGTGTTGTTATACATTATATGTTGTTGTTACTGTATTATGTTACTACGTACTATTGTTATTGTAATGTGCTTCATCTTATTGTATTTTATTCTTGTACATCTGTCTAATAACAGTTCAAGTTTAATTTAAAGAAGAAACCCTGAAAGTATACAGATTTTGAAATTTGTTCATTCCAGCCCAGACATGTGCATTTTGTTGATGGTGAAAGAAAAACAATATTTAATGTCCAAGGAACGCTAAGTCTGAAGGACAGCGCAACAAATTTCTTAAAAAAATTATGATTACGTATAAAATTTACAGAACCAGAATACTACCTAGAAGTAAGCTGACAAAAGCTGGTGTCACTGAAGGAACTAGATAAGAGTTTCCTTTTTTTTTAAATTTTAAACTGAATTTGATCAAACCTCATTTGGAATGGGAATCAGCCGAACATTGCAAAAAAATTAAGGCTTAAACAATTTAATAAACGGTCACCTAGTGGTACGGACTCGGAGAGGCTTGAGGCCTATATTAATATGATGTTGGTGCCGCATTTGCATTTATGACAGCCTGCACACATCTGGGGAGACTTCTCACCAGTTTTTGATAGGTGGCCATAGGAATTGACTTCCAGGACTCCATCACAGCTAAAGTGAGTGCTGGAAGTGAGGATGATCGATTTGGCTGGCTATGTAATTTGTTCTAATTCGTCCAGAAGTATTCTATAAGATTCAGATCTGGCTGTAAGAAGGCCAGTCCAGGTTTGGAATAACCATTTCGTCAAACCATGACTGCACAAGTCTCTTTGTGTGAATGGAACAGTTTTCCTGCTGTAAGAGAAATGGGCCTTCTCCGACTTATTGCCATAGAAGTAGGAGAGCAGCATTGTCCAAAATGTCCCCATAATATTTCAGAATTCATGCTTCCAACCACAGCAACTAAGAAACCCAGGCCAAAGCCAAACCATTAAAAACACCCCCACACCGGCATGATGCTGCCGCCACCAAACTTTACAGTCGGCACAATTACAGTCACTTAGATTGCCCGAAATTTCACTATCTGATTTACCACAAAGGTGGTATCCCGCTATACTGCTACGATCAAAATCATTAAGCTCCTTTAACTTACTCATTGTCTCACAACGAATAAATATGACCTGACAACCCACTACCAACACTTTTATAGTTTTCGGTTACGCGTCAAATTACGTCACCTGCAAGATCCACTTCTTTAGATTGGTGTCCGGATACTTAAGATGCGCTCGCCGAGCATCCGCTAAAGCCAGACACGTCCATCAGACTTCCAGATTGTAAAGCGATATTCATCGCTCCAGAGAACATACTTTTCACATTTCACAGTCCAATGACGGTAAGCATTGCACCATGGCAATCTATCCTTTGCATTTTGGGTAATGATGTTCGAATTGTGAGCAGCTGCACGACAAACGAATCCCAGGTTTTTTAACTCTTGATGAACAATCAATCCTATTGTTAACATTGCCTGATGAACTTTGAAACTCTTAAGCGATTTCAATTTACCAGCACTAGCGATTTTGTTTCACTACCCTTTTTACAGTTCTACGCCAGAGTTCACTAATTGTTTTCGTTCATGAGTTCACTTACGTCACTCATAGTGGATTTTGGCTTCCGTAGATTGCCCAAAATTTCACTATCTGATTTACCACAAAGGTGGTATCCCGCTATACTGCTACGATCAAAATCATTAAGCTCCTTTAACTTACTCATTGTCTCTCAACGAATAAATATGACCTGACAACCCACTACCAACACTTTTATAGTTTTCGGTTACGCGTCAAATTACGTCACCTGCAAGATCCACTTCTTTAGATTGGTGTCCGGATACTTTCGGCCAGATAGTGTAGTTAATAACTGATAACCTCATATTTTTGCATATAGAAGGTTCAACGAATTTTTGTTTTGAATATAAATATTGTACCTTTGGATAAAAGCAACATAGAGAGATTAAAATAAATACGATAATCGAATTCTTGAGTTAAGTTTTATTCATTGGCTCATTTTGTTAAAAGCACCTCACATAATTAACATACATTTTTCATTACACAGAACAAAATAAATTGTAAGTTAATGATTTTTACTAAATTTTAATTCATTTTGTATTACGAAGATACGCTAGTTTTCAAGAACAATTTTTGTAAGATAGAACTGTTTTTGTTTTGCCTTCTTGATTGTAGAAATCTTCTAAAACATAATTTATCAGAAGTCAAAGATCATTGCCAAAGGTCATGAAATGTGAATCAAAGCCTGAGGAAAATCGTGTAGTCGAAATTGATCAAGATGTCTACGAAATTTACCTCCAACTCTTATTTTTATTTAACACTCTCGAAATTATTCTCAACTATTAGTTTTATTTGTTTCTCTTGGAAGGCGTTCATTAAATACTTTCAGAGGTTAAAGTTGTTTACCAGCATGTTAAGTACAGGTGGTTTTTTAGGCTTTACAAAAGTAAAAAAAGAGTTACAAAAGTTCTAAAAATGAGCTGCAAAGAGTGAAAAAACACAGGTTTTTTCATTTGCTTTGCTTAATAAAAAATCTATAAACACATTTAAATTCAGATAAAATTCATTTCTAGTTTGTAATGAATTTCAAATAGAGTAGCTTATTTTTTTCCACATATAATCTTATGCTGCTCTCTGTATTCATTTTGTATAAATGTAAGAAACAAGTCATTAAAATATCCATAAGCCTAACATCTATAATGTATACAGAGGTTACTAAATACTCGTGTAAACTTAATTCGTCAATAGCAGATAGTAAACGAAATCTAATATTTAATTGTTTTAGAATTTTTTTCTTTCTGTTTACATCAATTATTTAATATGCTCCAAAAACGCAAAGAATGCAACAATAAAATATGTCATTGTAAAAATATAATTAGACTTAGAAATGCATAAAAAAAGCGTAGGTGTTTTATTCCTTTGAATAGCTGAACACCAATTTACTTTTCATTCTTCTTTTTTCATTACTGACCAACCAGCCGCCGACTGGTAACGTCGCTGAACACTGGTAGTTCGGTCCGAGGTTCGAATTCCGCGAACGGGCTGGCTGCATAGGTGTTTTCGTGGTTTTCCCCATGTGTAACGTGTATACGAGCCAGTTTCCTTTAAAAAGTCCTCCACGAAGGCATCCCTCTCTTAAGGCAGATGGCCTTCGAGTGCTTTGCCGTAATCTAATAAACCAAACTTTCTTTCATTACTATTTTAATATAAAACGATATACAGTGTTTTATTATATTTATTATTTAATAGGATTGTTATGCTATGCTGTCTGCTTATAATCTTGTGCCTGATAAAGAGGACATCGAGGCCGTCGAGAGTCTCCATTACTTATGGCACAAAACTAAAAAATTATCGACAGAGACTCAAAATTCACTTCTGGAAATGAAAACAAAATTCCAGACTCAGCTCACAGAAAATATTTCTAGTTTTACTGTTGAGTTCGAGAAGTTTCAACGAGATTACCAAGAGGTAGGTCAAAGTAACATCGGTATTAATATTTTAAATATGCACAAAAATAATTTTAAATGAGCACAATAATATAATAATAATTTTAAATATAAATGAATATAACTATATATAAAAAAATAAATAAATGTAATATAAATATATGTATAAAAAATTGCCACATATTTGTAATTCTTCTGACTATTGATTGATTGTTTGCATATTTATAGAGAATTTTGAAACTCGTTCTAAGTTTACTCGTTTTGAATTTTCGTTTTAAGTTTACTCGTTTTAAATTTCTCGTTTTAAGTTTACTCGTTTTGAATTTCATTTTTTTAGGACGTTTGTGGATTTGGTTCTAAATGTTTACATTTTATCTATACATATGTAATTTATGCATATATAGTACGTAAAATTGTGTTACACATTATAATTCCTATATATACATTACATACTTATAAATTCTATCGTCTTATTTTAAATGTATAGTTTCATTTTATATTTTAAGTCCTTAGGCAGCGACACTAAATATTTTTCTTTCAGTTAATTAACATATTTAATTTCTTTTTAAAATTTAAAATTTTTAAATTTATGTAATATAACTTTTAGAAACTATTGGTCATCTTTTAGTATTTTATTTTGATTTTCATCAGTTAGAACCTAATGCAAGGTCTTGGCACATTTTCTGTAGACATTTTATTTTTTCCTCATGTGCTTTGACAAATTTTTTTAAAGCTTTTGCTTTAACATTTTAATTTCTGTTTGGTTACACGAGCAATTTTACCTAATTGTTGTTTCAAGTAACTATTTCGAAACTTTTTTTTTATTAAAACTTCTAATCAAATTCTTTGCTTTATTTCAAAATTAGAATTTTATTTCCATGTTTTGGCTTAATACTGATATTTGATTTTTGCCTTCCTCAAATTACGTTGCTTGCTATATTCTTATACTTATATAAGAAATATAAAATTTACAAATACTCGAAATATATACAAATACTGTATTATTAATATACATATAAAATATTATTATTTCATATATTATTAAACAATTTTATATTTTATTATTTATTGACTATATTACAAAACAATTAAAATATCATGTATGAAATACATATGTAAGAAACACATAAAATATACATATGATCTGAGTCAAAATAACACTCCGAATAACGATTATAAGAGGCGTTAAAGCGACAAGATTCAATGTAATATTCATACATTTGCAGGACTAGTTTCTAAAGTTTAAATATAGCATAATCAGTCGCAGAAGTGCAAAAAATGCTATTGTACTGACTTTTGTTGGTTTAACTTCTCCAATATATATATACTCGTATATATATATATATATATAGGATGTTTCCAATAGTTTAAGGATTCAGGTATAATTATTTTATTTCGTTAGTTTTTACCAGTATTACAATGCAGTTTTTTTATTATAATCACTATTCAACTAAATACTTTTCATTTCAATGAAAAGAGAATTTCTTAAGCCAACGTCAAAGAAATTTTCGGTGTCTTCGCTATCCTTAGGCACACTTAAACTGTCAAATCGAATACTCCGTAAAGGCTTTTCAAAGCAGGGAACGGAATACTCCTCGCAGACGCTGAACAATTTCTGAAGTCTTCACACTCTTTTTTTTCACACAAAGAAAAGAACAGCTCTTCGTATCTTCCATGGTTGCAAAAACAGTGCTCCAAAATTGCCCCTGTCAGTGAAACATCTGAATCAGACTAAATAATACTGCACGGGATAGTTGCATAAAAATGTCAAGATATGTCTCTGGTTGATAGCGTTGCCTGCAAGTTCAAATAGTTAAATTAAATCTCAATTCCTAGAATCTGCTAGCCTGCCAGCGGCCCAGCGGTAAAGTTGCTGAACACTGGTAGTTCGGTTTGAGTTTTGAACCCCGCAAACGGGCTAGCTGCATGGGGGTGTTTTCGTGCTTTTCCCCCTTGTGTAATGTGTATACGAGCCAGTTTTCCTTAAAAATTCCTCCACGAAGGCATCTCTCTCCTTAGGCAGATAGACCTCAAGGCTTTGCTGTATTCACATAAACCAAACCAAACCAAGCCTAGAACTTTGAAAGCATGTCTTGTAAATATATACAATATTAATTATGAATACATATAAATAAACTTAATTAATAACAATAATTTTAAATATGTAGCGTATTTTACACTGATTTATCATGTAGGAATGCATTTTTACATCATTTGCATATATGCGCATATTGGGTCCGTAAAAAGTAAATAAAATTGCTAGGTTACTAATATTTTCAATATTTTTCTTTGATAATAGGAAGGCCCTTTGGTTGTTGGGCTATCCGCTATGGAAGCTTCAAACAGATTGGCAGAATATCAGGTTAGTATAGTAATTCCCGGAAATTTAGTATTTGACTTCCTAATTTATTTATTAATAGTTTATGTATTCTGGCAATTTATATCCCATGTCGATTAACTCGCAAGAATTCGATAAGAAGCAAATAAAAATCCGCAGAAATAACGAGAAAGTCTGAAATGGCACGATTCCCACCTCCAGTAAATTTTATGTTTCAGAAAGCCCGAAATGGGAAAACTATAATTCAGATACACAGAATAATTTAAGATTGTCTCACTAGTTTCATTCACAGCATAAGAAATTTAAAATAACTCTTGAAGACCAGTGTCAGTCAGTTACCTATACTATTTAATTAATCCATTCAAAAGTCATAATTCCTGCATATCTATAATACGAGGATCTCTGAATCTAGTGTTAATTTTTTAAAATTTAAATTAAAAAATCTGATGTGTACACCACATGACTTCCTTGTATGGAATATTAAATTATACGCATTTTTTCTTGCATTTCATTTAACTTATTAGATTGAATTAAACCTACTTCGCCGACAGCGCATAAACCACAATAGAATAAATGCATTCTTTAAAATTCACTTTGTTTACCATAGCGACACTATGGCGCTATGTTTACTTAACAGTATTATATTTCGTTCATATTATAACTCAGAATGCACAAAATTCATATCATTTAAAGAATTATCTAATCGTTGCCACGTGTTCTATTCAAATACTATAACAAAGCTAGAACGATGTATAAAAGAAATTAAGCAAACAAAACGAAAAAAAACAGTTTTTCACAGACGATTGAGTATTTCTCATTCAATTAATTCAGTTTTCACTTCGCTACAAGACAAAAATACATAAAAACTCAAAATATCTGTATTAAAAATTACGAAGTAAAACTTAAATACCGTATATACCCGCGTATAAGTCGATACCGCGCATAAGTCGACCCCCCCCCACTTCGACATAGAAAATCGTAGAAATAAGAAACCCGCGTATAATCGACCCCACTCCGAATCGATGAGAACTTCGAAAAAAATTTTTAAGTACTACATTTATTCAGATCATCTGAGAAAAAAGTAAGTAGACGATAAAAATACCTTGGTAAATAATAAAATCAAAATCCTTCAACGTCTGATTCATGGTCAGATTCGTCAAACATTTCATAGAACTCTTTTGTCATCATTGGCTCGTCATCATACATATTTTCAGTCTCGAACTCTGGATCGTTACAATCACTACTAGAGCCTTCGTCATCATTTTCACTTTCAAAAGCAGCATTATCATCTGTGCCGTTTAGTTCGTTGCTAATACATTTTTTAATCATTTTTAATCATTTCAGGTGTACGTATCCAAATGATCACAAGGTTGTTGAGCGTGTTCCTTGATCTATTGCACCAAGAATTTTACTGTACATTTTATTTAAAATTCATTTACAAGTCGTATGCCACTTGCATTTCAAGCGTGATGTCCTGGCATGTACATGATAGACATATTCTGCCCCTGGCATGTGAATTGATACATCATATTAGTTTTTGCCACCTGACAGATACGATGCAATTACCTCAATTAGCGGTAATACGCCCGACATTTTGCGTGTCCGCTTCCCTTACGTTCTGTAACGCAATAACTTTTGTGCGGTGCGCTCTCTGGGCACAAATCACCGCAATCACCGAGGAGGCCAAAACACAGAGGGTATTTCGTTCCAAGCATCCTTAACCCACTGAGCAATTAATGCAATATCGGGCTTTTTAATGTTGCCTTCTAGAATTTGAAGTTGATCGTATATAGTAACCTTCTAGAATTTGTTCAGGAAAAGATTCGCGTACGTAAAATCTATCTGCATTTTCCCTTTTTAAAAGTTAAAAGAAATATTCAAAATTGTTCAGTTATTGCGTGGGCTATTTTTTTAAATTTTGACGTGTACCCCTGTTAAATCGAACAGGCGTAAATTCTTTGGTTTAATCGAAACTTACTCTAGTTAAAATATGAAACTGTGATTAGTTCGTCACATAATTTAAGTCATGAAATTACTTCAAGTAAGTGACTTAGTTGATAAGTCGTCCAATTTGAGTGCGGTAAAAAAACAACTGCATTATGTAAAGAAATTTTTGAACTTTCGATTCTTTTAATTTTTTATGGCCCCGCGTATAAGTCGACACCCCCACTTTGAAGTCTTTTTTTTTGTCCAAAATATCTCGACTTATACGCGGGTATATAACGGTACTTATTTCCTCAAAAAAATCCAGAAAGGATTAAGCATGATTTAATTCGCAATAATAATGAAGGGCGTTATTTTTGTGTTGCGAAGCTTAGTCTCTCTAGATTGGCAACAAATCTACAATTCTGTGTTTCAAATGTAAACAAATGTTCGCAATGTTATTTAAATTAACCGCACTTAAACAGCTTTTAAATGTTGATAATTGTACAAATATTGCTTCCAGAATTACGAAAGGCAAAACCTTTAACCGGAAGATAAAAACAACATAATTCAATCGTTTTTAAGCAAAAAATGTACAATTTACAAACATATAAGAGTAAAGAAACTGAGATCACTGAGCCGGGGTAACAGAGTGAATATATTTTATAAATATATTTATATACGTTTGGCGCGGCCGATTGAAACCAAAATACGGGTGCCACATCTACATGTTATAGTAGTCTTATATACAAAATTTCAAACGTTCTGAGGCTACTCGTTTTTGAGTTATGCGAGATACGTACGTACGCACGCACTTACGTACATACGTTCGTACAGACGCCACGAAAAATTCTCTTCAGAATTCATTTTAAAGCATTAGTTTTACAATTTTTGTGGGGAAAAGAGTCTTTAATTCTGTCCTTACGTACAGATATGTCATGCAAAAACATTGTTAAATTGCATTCGTTAAAGCAGGTGAAAATGGATATTTGCGTTGAAATATGATGCCTGAAACTTTTCGCGATTACAATACTTCCTTATTACTTCGTACAAGGAAGTAAAAAATGATGATCAAATAGCATTTTGTAATTAGTCAGATTAAGAAATTAAACTGCAAAAAATATATAAAGTATGTGGATAGAGAAAGTCCTTTCGAATGCCATAATTATGTATCATTAAAATATCTTACCAATTGAAATGAATGGGTATATAAAACTTCTAGAAAGTTTTCAATATATGGGTATTCTTATTCTATAATACAAATGAAGTTTAAATTACCGATGCATTATTATTCATCTAGTAGTATTCAACATCTCTAAGATTTAATTTTATGCTGATTCATCACATATGAATGCATTACTATGTCTTTTTTTTTATTACAGAATCGTTTCGACACATTATGGCAGAAATACATGTCATATACCGATGGCGCCATGTTATTTGGATACAAGTGTATGGAATTTCCTCGACTGCATTACATACGAAGAGAGTTGGGAATGATGCAAAAGTTGTATAAACTGTACAATGATGTATTAGACAAAGTCAATGGTTACCAGGATATTTTATGGACTAATGTAGACATTGACAAGATAACAAATGAACTCATTGAATTTCAAAATAGGTAAATATATATCTATATTATATTCTGATTACGTTTTAAAATGAACCAATAAAAGTAGAAGTGTGAATGTTTCAGCAATGTATTTTAAATTTACACTATCATAAAAAAAGTTTTCGAAAGGAATTCTGGAAAAGATTAAATGTTCTTCATTATAATAAACTAAATATACGTAAATCTTAATGGAAACAAATGAAATGAACAATTTCCAAATACGATCAAATTACTTTTAGTAATTTCTAATGTGTTCACTTAAAATTAGCCTTCTGATTCCCGTTCATTTTTAAATGTGTTCAGTGAGAATTTGGTAATATAAATTATGTCGAAATAAAATTGTAATGATAAGAGTTATAATTTCTAATGGAAAATAAAATATTTAAATATTAATAAAACACAGTTCAACACGGGTGAAATATGATTTAATCATTTTTGTGAACGATTGCCAATAACATTCCAAATATTTTGTGAACGATATCCAATAACGTCGCAAATACTTTGATATTATAATATTAGAAATAAAAAAATCATTGAAAATAAAATAATCATCATCAGAATAAAAAAATCATTGAAAGGATTAAACTATTCATCCGTTGTCTTTTGCACTAAAAATTTCAGTTTTCTTTTGTATTTTATGTAATTTGAAGTTTCGTTACAAATTTAACTTAAAAACGTTTATGTTATTCGTTCGAAAAAAAAATTTAACATTTTTAATGAAGATTATTTAGGTTTACACACCGACTCGTCGAGTTACTTCAGAATTTCTTGTATAATTGTAGAAACTAAGTTCTTAAACGTTTCGAATAAACTGCATTTTATTTAAATTTCATTTTATTTTGTTCAGTATTAACACCAGCTCTCCATACGCATGTTCAAAATGTGCAGTAAAGGGAATAATAGTTTGCGTTAAACAACCCATATAGATTTCCAAAATTAATACGAAGATTGTTTTGATAATCATATGCTAATACTTAAGGAACCTCAGAATAACTATCAGTCAAAGAATTAAGATTTCAGCACTGTAATTCCGATGGATTTAAAAATCAAAATATAACGCACAGTGCGTTGCTGCAGACTAAATTATACCACTCATCCATGAACTTCCATTATATATAGTTCTCGATTTTCAGTGCTGCTACTTGGTAGGGTCTAACTCAGTACGGGTCTTTGGCAGAGTGAGGAAAAGTAGACATCTTTGTGATGGTGTTATAAGCCGTCTGAAGCTCTCTTTGTTGCTTTTTGCTCTAACAAGAAAGTCTCTTTGGTTACTAAAACTTCGCATACTCAAATGTATCGGATATATACTTTAGCATTCTGCTTAAAAGTCTGTATTTGAATTGCTTTCGAACAGACTATAGTGAAAAAAAGCGCAATAAACCTAATCATTTTCTAATAAAGAAATATTTTGTCTAAGAATTGCTTGTCTTTAAGACTGTGTGTGGGCCTAGAAAAGCTGCCCAAGTAACATAGATTGATAAGCTTAGCGAACTCACCATAAAGAAGAAGAACTCCTCCACCTCAAGATTCCTCTTAATTTTCCAACTAAGAGATTAAGTTTAGGCAATCTTGTAAAGACATATTTCAATTTCGTAGCTATAATTTAAATAAAATATCAACATTACTTTAGAATGGCAGTGCTGACATGACGCTGTTCTTGACTTTTAATTAAAACTCTGATATTTTCTCATAGAAAAAGAAGATGATTTTATACTTAGATAATATATCTTTAAAATTATAATCTTTTCTCAACTATGTTTCTATTTTTTCTGATTCACATTTTGTTTCGACTTATTTTTACTGTGCTTTAAGTATTTGAGGCAGCATTATGTCTTAGCATTTAATTCTAATAATTTTAAACATCGAGTTGCTGTAAGTTAAATGACAGGTTTATAATTAGAGTTTATATTAAACTACTCAATTTATTTGTTAAAATGGAACAAGTTTTAAAGCTAACTTCGGATAATTTCTCCTTGAAATGAACATTAGCATCTGAGCGACAAATGAACATAAGAATTAGACTAAGGAATTATTCTACCACTAATATCATAGGAAGGAATTATTCCACCATGAGTATTTTAGAAAATAATCATTCCTTCCTCCGTGTATTAGACAGTGAAAGCGATCTGTCTAGATTTGTCTTTCTTAAAGTGCCTGAACAATTTTTCGAAGTCCAAAGTGGTTTTTATGTGCAATATAAGATGTCTTTTTCTTATTAGATTTGTTAACATATATTCAAGTTTAAATCCGATAATTTATGTAAAATATTTTTAAAAAAATTACTCTTCTTAAAGACATTGTATAAACAAACAGTAGTGATGTATCTTATGACTGAGTGAACGACGAAAAAATTAAGAAAATATTACGCATTAAAATGAGTAAACTTTATCTAGAGATTATGTTGGCAGTATTAGCATGGTAAGCATAATATAAAATTATAGCCTGATTATAGTCATAAATAGACAGTTCATACATTATTGAGCTTTTCGAATTAAATAAAATGTTTCATTTTGCTATCTAATTAAATTTAGCAATTAATGATTTCATTTTCATGGCAGGTGTCGAAAATTACCCAAAGGTTTGAAAGAGTGGCCAGCATTCACAACTTTGAAAAAGACCATCGATGACTTCAATGAACTTTGTCCCTTGCTGGACTTGATGACCAACAAGGCTATGAAAGGCAGGCATTGGAAGAGGATAATTGAACTCACTGGACATGAATTTGACATTAGCTGCCCACATTTTTGCCTTAAAGACATACTTAAAGCTCCATTATTAAGCTACAAAGAAGATATTGAGGTAATAATATTAAGGAACATGAAACTGACAAAAATTAAACACCAAACAAGTTAAATGAAACTGACCTTATTAAAATATTAGAACTGTAGCTTAACCAGCCTGAGCGAATGTAGAGGGTACGTAAACGGGCTTATATTAAAAAGAGAAATCCTTAATTCTATATTATGTAAACCTCGTGAAAGAATTTATTACGTAATTAATTTTAATATGGGAATATTCAGAACCAGATTTAGACTTAATAAGGCCCTAAGGTATTTGACATATAGGGCCCTTTATACGTCTTTTATAATATATTTTAATGCTATTTATATTATATTTTAGTTTTGGGGGGCCCAGCAAGAAAGTGCGGGCCCTAAGCTATAGCTTGTGTAGCTTATACGTAAATTCGGCTCTGGGAATATTCCTATTTACCTTTAAGCACGATATTATATTTTTATTACCTATATATAGAATGACAAATTCAGACGTAATAATAGTTATTAGGTTATAAGGTATTTCTCTCGTCTTCTTGGCATGCCTTCATGGTGTGGTGGTCTGCACGCTGGGCCGGTATTCCAGAGGTCCGTGGTTCGATTCCCGGTGAAGGCGTTTGCTCATTTTTCATCTTGCCTGCTTTAAAATATTCTAATGTCTCTATAAGGTGTGGTAAATTTGTATCCTTGAATGCCACGAACCTTAAAAAGATTCCAGATCTCGAAATTTGCATTTTCATGCTTTTCTCCCCTTAATTTGAACCTTTTGAACACCAATCTAAAAACTCATTATATCTTTCAACTAATTATATTATTCTTAAAATGCCATCTATATATGAAAATGAATGTATTCCCAAAATAAGGCTTGAAATATATCCTATAGCACTGCTTTTACGGACGTCTGGAAGATAAAGTAGAGAGCACGTCTTATACATATCGCCAGCAATTAAATGAATCTGGTCGTACTACTTAAATATTAACAATAATCATTTTCGAATGGAATTAATTTAGATACGTACAATATCTCTAATAATGCATTCGGATATTAACAAGATTACTTCATTCATATGGCTTCATTAATACAGTTAATATTGTCCTCACAATGAATAAGCCCAAAAATATGACAAAGACAAATGGAAATAAACAAGTCAAGGACCCTAAAGTATTCGATATCTTCCCCTAAAATCAAAAAAGAAGCATATCCAATAATTTTTTCCTTAAATTGTTTTATTATAAGACACGGATGTATTCAAAGGTTTACGAAACAAATAAGGGTTTAAGATACCAAAGGTTAATTAAGTTTTTCAGGTTTTTCTAATATAAATATGTGAAAATAATCTGGCATCCAGTAAACTATAAGCAAGTGGTGAATGGGGCGATCACAAGAATTACTGTAGTATTGTGAACGTTTAAAACGCACGAAAACAGCAAACATGCGTTGTAGAACTCCTAAGCCCTCCAAAAGGGTATACACATTTTTCAAGCAATTTTGATAAAGAATTAAATAAGGAAATAGGTTTGGAATAAAACCTTCTGGCAACAACTTTTTATTTGAAATTAGAATTGTCGTCTGCTACTTTTAATCGTATCCCCCCTTTGAAAATACCGTATCTTAACAAGCTGTGGATTAAAGGATATGCTTTTGACTTTCCGAAAAGGAATATTCCTATTACATAATTCAAAAATGTTGTGAAATGCTTGGTATTAAAATTTCTGTAAGAAGTGCAAAGTAATCAACATCATTAATTGAAGGAAAAAATTACTTCTACAATCTACTGTACTGTCAATCATTACTTTTACATGGAAAAAAGACTTCAAACGAATACCCGATAACGGTATTTAGAGAAAACCCGCCGACGCACTGTGTTTAAATACATCTGTAACAGCAATAAATAAATATTATTAAAGGAAGATTTTCAAATAAAAAAGCTAAAAAATATAATGGCCAGCAGCTTTTCCTGAGGTATATGGCTCAACTCAGAACAATTTGTAGAACCCTGTATAAAACCTATTTAGCAGGAGATAAATGAAAATACATTTACAATGTCTACACAAAAGTATTCCCACACTTGAAGAATTTGCAGAAAAAGCGCTGGAACCCGGAGCTGAATTCGAATATAAAGCCCAATATTTTTCATATAATCTCCATATGACTTTGAACAAAATCAAACTTTTTAATTTTTAATACGACTTATTTTCCTTTTCTAAAATTCAAAAGATAGAAAAGATTCAAAAGATAAGAAGGCATAGATAAAACACGCCACAAAAGCGATCGTACATCGAAATATTTTCGTAAAATTTCATAAATGAAATTATCGTCTGCCACTTTTTTATTTTTGCATTTTGATGACGTTTAAAAAATTGTTCGGCTTTATTTTTTGCTTTCTTAATTCGTTACACTTTATTTAACGTTTAAAGATAGCTCCTAGTCGTAAGGAAACAATAAAGAACATTCGAAAATTGATCATTTTTTATCATAAGGATGGAAATTCAATTCGGTATATCGCTAAATTAGTAAATTTATCTCATTCTACGCTGCAGTATGTGATAAAATGCTTTAAAGAAGAAAATCGATCCAGAATAAAGTAAGATAAAGTTCTCCGGCAAAGGGAGGACTTGACGTGACTCAACGTGATCAGAGATGTATACTTAGAAAATCTGTGAAAAATCCATGTTTGAGTGTTTTAAAGATTTCTACGAAATTTACTGAAAATTGTTTTACTTCAATTTCCGTTAAAACTGTTCGACAAACACTCATATCAGCTAATTATATGGGTGCTTTGCTCGAAGAAAATTTTTGGGAGTGCAAAAAATAGAAAGCTTAGGCTTTTCTTCTCAAAATAAATGGTAAATAAGCCCGAAGCGTATTCGAATCATGTATTATTTTCCAATGAAAGCAGTTTTAAGATTTTTGATTCCGAAGGGCGTGTAATTTGTATGGTGAAAAAAACTAAGGAGCTTAATCCGAAGACCTTGCTTAGTACAGTAAATCATGGCGGTGGAGATGTTCTTGTGTGAATATCAGCGTTAAATAATTTAGTATTTATATTGATGGCACAATGAGCCATGCTCTTTATTTGAATATTTTAAAAGATAATTTAAAATTATTCGCCCAAAATTTGGATACTAGAAACAACTTAATTTTTTTTATCAGGATAACGATTCTAAGCACACGGCCCTCAATGTTCGCCTTTTGGATGTCTATAATTGTCCATAAGTTCTGAAAACACCACCTCAGACACCAGATTTAAACCCAACAGAACACATACGGAGAAAATTAGAGGTTAGAGTACGAAGACACAACTAAAAACAGTAATGATGAAAGAATGGAGGAACATTGATGCAGATTTTAAAAAAAAAACTGGTGAACTCTTTTATCAGATGTATGAAAGTTGTCATAAATACTGCAGTATATACTACAAAATACTACAATACTTACTAATATGTGCAGATTTCTTTAAGCGTACGGAGACTTTTGTGAGGTATTTTTCTGTTGCATTTTACTTCCTTGTACGAAGTAAAAAGAAAGTATTGTAATCGCGAAAAGTTTCAGGCAGCATATTTCAACGAAAATATACATTTTGACAGCTTTCGAATGCAATTTAACGATGTTTTTGCGTGATATCTGTACGTAAGGACAGAATAAAATACTCTTTTCCGCCAAAAAAATTATAAAACTGCTTTAAAATGAATTCTGAAGAGAATTTTTCACGCCACGTAACGTATGTCCGTACGTACGTACGTATCTCGCATAAATCAAAAACGAGTAGCCTCAGAACGTTGAAATTTTGTATATAGAACTGCTGCAACATGTAGATGTGCACCTCGTATTTTGGTTGCAATCGGCCGTACCAAACGTATATAAATATATTTATATATATATCCACTCTGTTACCCGGCTCAGTGATCTCAGTTTCTTTACTCTTATATGTTTGTAAATTGTACATTTTTTGCTTTAAAAATGATTGAATTATGTCGTTTTTATCTTCCGGTTAAGGTTTTTATACCTTTAGTACATCTCTATGCAATATTTTTAGAATTATCAACAATTTTAAAGTTGTTTAAGTGCCGCTAAGCCTAATACTTTTTTGATGGCGGCCATTGCTTGTTTACATTTGAAACAGCAGAGTAGTGGATTTGTTGCCAATCTAGAGAAACGTAGCTTCGCAACAACAAAGATAACGCTTTCATTTATTATTGCGAATTAAATCATGCTTAATCCTTTCTGGAATTTTTTCGAGGAAGTAAGATTTACTTCGTAATTTTTAATACAGATATTTTAAGTTGTTATGTATTTTAGCCTTGTAGCGTAGTGAGAACTGAATTAATTGAATGAGAAATACTCAATCGTCTGTGAAACTGTTCTTTTTTGTTTTGTTTGCTTAATTTCTTTCATATATATCGTTCTAGCTTTATTATAGTATTTGAATAGAACATGTAGCAACGATTCGATAATTCTTTAAATGATATAAATTTTGTGCATTCTGAGTTATAATATGAACCAAATATAATACTGTTAAGTGAAGTTAAGTGTTAAGCGCCAGAGTGTCGCTATGGTAAACAAATAGAGTGAATTTTAAAGATTGCATTTATTCTATTGTGGTTTATGCGCTGTCGGCGAAGTAGATTTAATTCAATCCGATAAATTAAAATGAAATGCAAGAAAAAATGCGTATAACTTAATATAATATTCCGTACAATGAAGTCATGTGTACACATCAGATTTTTTATTATTGATTTTTCAAAAAAAATGTTTTAATATGTTCATTAAATAATTAATATAGTTTAGATAACAGAAATTTATAGATATTATTAAAAAATTTCATTCTAAAATATTAACTTTTGTTAATGAATAAAGCAATATTTCACTGAAACACGTAAAGGTACGAACACTTTCGTGAGCCACTATATCTCCTTCTGACCCTTGATTAAGCGTTTACCTGAATGACCGCAACAAAAAAAGGACTATTTATTATCGAAAACGAAGAGAAATAAATTTTAAATCTGTTCCTATCAATACAAAAAATGTTTCAATAAGAGGCTTATGATTATCGTAGGATTCTATTGCAATCGAAAATTAAAAATAGGGAGACTTGGAGGGAGAATGTTAAAATCAACTCAACCTGCTATCAAGATACAGTTTTACTACGATATTTACTGAAGAAATTTCATTTTTTTTAAATCAAAACGGCTTTCAAACAATTAAATTTCTTCCGGAAGAAGCAAGAAATCATACTTCGAAAAGTAAAACTGCATTTCCTGAAAACGTGAAGACTATTACAGGTATTGCATGTATACGTTTTCAACGTATTTATGCAAAGTCTGCAGGAAGAAACAATAAGTCATACTTCGAAACGTACCACTGCATTCCCTGAAAAAGAATGAAGACTGCTACAGGTATTGCATGTATACCTATTCAACGTATTCGTGCAAGGTCTCCTGACATTTCACCTATAGACTATTATGTCTGCCACGATTGATGAAATGGATGATGTATTCTGGATAGCACTGAAAAAGGAATGGGCATCATTAGCTTTGGAATGTTTATGAATCATGAAAATCAAGATGCATTATTTATAGCACAGGAAAAAGGATATTAGATCGAACATTAAAAAAATACAAACATTAATTAAACGGCCCCAAATTGTTTAAGATCGTTTAAGCACCCTCGTTTTATCATGTATTATTAATGGAAGCATGCAGAATAAAAGCGAATTCGTGACAAGATCATTAATTCATGTAGAAGCTATCCGAAATGAATAAAATGAAATAATGTTTTTCATCAAATTTAACTAGATCCATACAATTACTTCCTGTAATACTCCCTACTATATAAATAAGAATACTTAAATTCGTACATTCACACATTATACGCTACACATCTGTGAAAATTGTAGTAATACATTGTTGGCGTCAGGATTTTTCTCTTACATCCACTATGTGTATTTTTTGTTTTTGCGTTATTTATCAGGACAGAAATTCACAACCAATATCATCAAAATACTTTATTCTACTTATATTTTAAAAAGTTGCATGAGTAATTAATATCGTCTGTTTCCATGGTTACATTTTGTATCTCTCGTTTTTATTATTACAAGTTGTTTGAATAACTTTTAATATTATGACGCCATCTGGCGATAGATTGTGGAAATTGCTAACAATATTAGTATTAATGTGTTGTTATGCAAATAATTATCTTTGCCTAATATTGCGTAAAATATATTATCTCCTTTCTTAAATACTGTGTACATTATACAACAGTGCGACAATATATCTGTATAATTAACAATCAAGTCCTGATGCCTTGTACAGGTATTCCTATCCTATCCTGACATACAGTAAAGACGTTCATAAAAAAAAAAAAAAAAAAAAAAAAAAAAAAAAAAAAGATTCTTACAATTTTAATGTTTTCTGCATCACTAGTGTGACTTTATGATGAACCTGAGTGTCACTCTGTTTCAATATACCATCCAGCAGGCTTTGTTGGAATTTTATAATGATAGATGAATTGTTCTCTCTCGAAAATTCTCTAAATTAAAATCTCAAATTATCTCCAAAATTCTATAATAGATATTACTAATGGGGCAGGCTGTTTCTAACTGCTCATGCCATGGTATATAAATGCTGTTTTGCACATGATTCTTGTTGTTTACCCCTTGAAATTCTCAGCCACCACCTGCTCAATTTTATTCTCACTCAAATGGTTTTTATCATATTGTGTTAATAAAATTAACTTTAAGATTCGAAAATTTTCCTTAAGTACTATACTTAATAGTCCCATTCCATTTATATCCTCTTACACTATCTCTTTAAAAATTCTTGAATTTTTTATTAAATGCAGATTTTAAATTTTGCTTTCAACTTTGAAATTGAGATTTCTTTTCTTCTTTGAAGATCTTTGAAGTTTAAACATTTTAGGATTCGTATTTAGATTCAAGAAAATATAGGGTTATTTATTTCACCTTTAATTTTTATACTATTAAGCACTGTTTCATTAGAATTATATAGTTTCAGCCAGAAACCCATCGCCTGTAATTAATATGAAATTTTAAAAAGTTACAGTTAGCAAAATATTAGTACATTCTAATTATGTTGAAGTAACTGAATTGCACTCTTAAACCAGTTCATGTAGTTGATGCATACATTAATTAATGTCTTTATACAACTGGTATACCTGAAAACCGCGCTTTTTAATAATGAATAATATCCATCAGGATACATGAACAGCATGGACTTTTGATAACCGAAGCAAATTTCTCAAAAACATAGAAATTTCGATTTATATGAGGTTTATTTACTTTTAACACTTTACTGAACTTTCCAAAATATTTCAATAGGATATTTGCATATCTGCTCTGAAAGAAAGGGATATCGAAGGCAAACTCAAACAAGTGATGTCAGAATGGAGCAATCAGAACCTGACTTTCGCGCCTTTCAAGAACAGAGGTGAACTTTTGCTGAGAGGCGACACAACAGCTGAAATTATTTCGCTGTTGGAAGACAGTCTTATGGTTCTGGGCTCACTTCAAAGTAATCGGTGAGTTTTAAAATTCTCTGAAGTTATATAGTTTCATTTATATAACATGTAACACTTTTGACATCATTCGTATGTGTTATTGAAAAAGGCATGTATTTCACACGTATTAATAATTTCGAGCATTCAAGTTAAAGCTGAATTTCAGTACTGTAACGAAAATTATATTCATTATATATAAAGAAACAAAGACAATGTGCTACCAGAACTATTGAACAGTATTTTAGGAGGGCTGAAAGTCTAGTAGAACACGATTAAGATAAAATCTGCAAATGCAGCTTTATTGATCAATAAAAATTTCTATACATTTGAGCCATAATAAATGTAATTACCCAATTTTTTTTGCAGTATGTAGTTAGAAATGGAATTAATGATTATTTATAAATTATCTCTTTATAGATATAATGCACCTTTTAAGAGTCAAATTCAGAAGTGGGTACAAGATTTATCTAATACGAACGAATGTCTGGAAAGATGGTTATTCACTCAAAATATGTGGGTGTATTTAGAAGCAGTATTTGTGGGCGGAGATATTGCTAAACAGCTACCTAAGGTAAGGCAAAATGATTTTCTATCTACTTGAATCTTTAATATTAGAATTACTGGCGATTAATGTATACATATATCTTATTACTAGTCCAAGTTTTCTCCAGAAATATTATAGTATCTATGTATCACGTATGATGCAAATACCAAAAACAGCTCTTAAATAAAAAGTTCAATAACGTACAACCAGACGAAGAGGGCAATATTATATTTACAAATAGTAATCTAACTTTTTAAATAACTACAAAACGAAAAAGTAAGATTACTGGATTTGCTGCAAAATCCTCGAGAATCGCATTCAGTTACCTTATCATAACTGTTTGTAATTTTCTTTCGGCTCCAGAAATTGTGGAAATAAAATTATAGATCACATACTGAAAGTTACTTCCACGACTTCTGGTATTATTACAAATACTTAAAAATATTTTAAATAAAATAACAAGATAATATACACCATATCTGCAAAATCCCAATATCTAACATTTTACACTTTCCTCCGGCCCCTGTATATATGCTTAGTAAACGTTTGTATTCGCTATAAAAAAAAAGTACAAAAGGTGTCTATCATGCGACAAAAATTGACTGTGATATTTAATTTCAAAATCTGCGATTTTTGACGTCATATTCAATTTGCATTAAAGGGTCTGTTAAGAGCTAAATTAGCATAAATGACGGTTTATCCCCCCCCCGAAATGCCATTCAATGATAGGAATTTGTGAACTACTCCCATCTTTAGTTTATAGCAACTTTAATACATTTGGCATGCCAAAAGAATTTTTGCACTGATAGCTTATAACTTTAAAAAATTTTAAAATGTGATATTGATACATATTCTTATGAAATTTTATTATTTCATAATTTGGTAATCGTATAAAAGTTCATAAAAGCGCGAATAGTTTTCCTTTTTAATTACTAATATTACTGAAGCTTGCCCGTGTCTTCTAGAACGCGAAAAGGATTCTGTGAATAAAATCTTTATTTGAATTATATCAGTATTTTTCATAATAATATGTGTGTTTGTAATAAGATGTAATATGCTCGTTACAATATTTTACCATCAGAAAAAGTTTTCTAAGCGATATTTTATTTTTAATTTCGTACAAATTCAAATATTCTCTTCAATTTGTGTATGGCTGGCGACAATCATTCTTGATTATACTATCAAATACCTTCGTCGTGTTGTGTTACATAGAACTCAATTTTGTTTTGTATTTTTATAACAGGTATAAAATGTTCCTATAAACATAAATTTAGGAAAGAGAGTTTAAAAAATTAGAGAAGCTTTTGAAAGGACGCAGGAGCGTATAAAAAATTAAATTTCGCATATTATACAAAATCGGTTTTTTCCCTTCAATTTAAAATACGACAATACGATATAAAAACTGCTTCATTTAAATCATTTTTGTAATTATATGTCTACGACCAATAGTTTCGAAACTGAAGGCCGGCTTAGGACTTTGCAGGTTATACCATGAAATACGGCATATAGTAGCAAACACACGTAAACAAATTGATTGGTAAGAAGCATAATTTAATTTGAATAATTTTATATTTAATGTGATGATTTGCTTAAATTCGATATATCTTTAATTTTTATTGATTTCAGGAAGCAAAACGTTTCAACACTATTGACAAGTCATGGGTGAAGATCATGATGAGAGCTCATGAGAAATGCAATGTCGTCGAGTGCTGCGTTGGAGACGACTCTTTGAAGCAACTGTTGCCTTACCTTCAGGAGCAACTGGAAATATGCCAAAAATCCTTAGCTGGGTATTGGATGTATATTAAACACAGATATGTGAAAAGTTACTTGAATGCTTTATTATAGTTCGGAGCCTTATTTTGATTTTAATTGTTTCATTTCTTAGGTATCTTGAGAAGAAACGGCTCATGTTTCCAAGGTTCTTTTTTGTATCTGACCCTGCTTTGTTAGAAATCTTAGGTCAAGCTAGCGATTCTCACTCCATTCAGAGTCATCTTTTGAGCATATTCGACAATATAAAATCTCTCGTTTTTGATGAGAAAGACTATAATAAGATACTGGCTATTGTGTCATCGGAAGGCGAGAGTATTACAGTAAGTTTTACTAACTATTTTCATTCGACAATTACTCTTTTTAGAATTTAATACCAATAATAACTCTGTTTACAATTTAATAACTACTGAATTCTTTAAAATATGCAATTTTTTTCGGAGGTTATGCTGCAATGACTAAGAAAGGTAGAAACTAGACTTTACTCAACATATTATGAAACAAACAGTTGCCATCTACAGCAGGGTTTCTTAAACTTTTTTCAGTCGCGACCCCCTTTTAATCACTGAGAATTTTTCGCATAATATTTACAAAAATTTTGTGGGACCCTATAAGTATTGCGCAAATCCGACACACGCGTGAGTGAAACTGTCAATTTTTCTCTTGTATTGTAATATACTATTGCACTTTTAGGTCATTAACTTTAATTTCTAATTTTAAGACATAGAACAATGTGAAAATTTTAAATAAGTAACAGACGAAATGGCAGCATCACGTGCAAAGCAAGGAAAATGGACGTTTATATTATAAAAAGAATCCGTCGAAAGATTTTAATTTTTTTCTTTGTCTGCATAACCCATCTACTACTTAACCCATCTTTATCTATTTTCAGATACATTGTGTAAAAATATTTGGTAATTGTAAAATTATTATAGTAAAGTTAAAGAAATATCAAAACTGCTAAAATGTTTGGCGACCCCCTATGCAGGTTTCGCGACCCACAGTTTAAGAAACCCTGATCTACAGTATTAAAATATTCAGTAGTAGTAATATGAAATATTCAGAAGCAAGAGTAATTATGAAAACTTACGAAAGCATTACCTGAATGAATACAATTATAATTTTTTTTGTAACTGGTGCTTAGTTTAAGAAATATTCCGTTATTCCAAAATAACCCAGATATTATTCATATTTCGAATTGAACACTTTGAAGACATTTCAGCAAATAATAAAACTTTATGCACGAAAGATTGTGCGTGTTCGAACTCCGGACCAGTGGCGTAACAAGTAGTGAGCAGACTGCTTCGAGCATCTCATAGGGCGCATCCGAAGAACTTGTAAAGTTTCACATGTATATGTAGGAATATAAAAAATAGATTTCTGGAAAGAGGATTACATATAAATGTGTCTCTAAATTTATATATAGCACTGAAGACTTTCTGATAGTTTGTACTTCAGTTGCTTTTTGTGAGAGAAGTTTTTCCAAGTTGAGTTTGATTAAAAGCTATCTTCGATCGACAACGAGCGAAGTACGACTTAACATTCTGACAACCTTTTTCTTTGAATTCTGCTCTTAATTGAAATGCATAAAATCTTCATCAACGATACGGCGAAGAGATGTTTAAGTGTATATACCAGTTCAGTATTAATACTTACTTTTAAGTTATTTTAAGAAAAAGTTTTATCATTTGTTGTTTCATCAGACCTTGCAAAAAAAAAAAAAAAAAAAATCTTTATACTTGGCACAAGAATAAAATACAATAAATCATTGTTATCTACACAAGTGCTACGATTTATGTTCATACTTTGTTTCTCTTAAGAGAAATGGCTTGAAACTTGCTTACTCCTTTATTTTGGAGAACAGTGCAGTTACTGAGTGTCTGGGTTTTTTGCCATATACTACATTGAACAACAGGAACGTACATGGGGTAGCCATATTGTTCTGAAAAGCAAATTATTTTTAATGGAAATTTTAACTGCATTATTTCGCTGTACAAGTTTATTTTAAATAAATATATTCAGGACTTTCTATTTTTCTTAAAATAGTTAAAAAACTTATATTAACTAAGAAACACAGAATAAATTTTTAAAAATTAAATATGTAATAAATGCGCAAAATAGGCGTAGATTCTAATGTATTTTAGGTTTCACTAAACCACTACACTTAGTAAGGATGATCACTACACTTAGTAAATCATGATATCTAAAATATTAAATGCATTAACACGCGGTTTCTTGTATGACGCCTGGTTTCAATTATACACAATACATCTGGAGGTAAACCCCCCAAAAAGGCCAGTCGCCAGGATATGAAAAAAGATCTTGGTTGTTGGGATTTGAACCTGGGTCAAACTTCCAATATTAATTGTCTTCCCACTTGACTACTGTTAGCTAATCTTGTTGAAAGAAGGCGTTTACAACGATAAATGACATGTGCTCCTTCTTTGTTTACTTAACGTAGATGCAATCTTTATTGTTTTCTTTTTATAGTGAGGATTTTCTGCCGCATTTTGCATATAAAATTTACGATATTTTTTATCTTATAAGAAAATATTAATTTGTATATATACAAACGATTCATTTTCAAACAGATAGCGTAAACTTTAATCATCAATAAATACAGTTACAGCATTGAAAATTCCAGTCAACAGCAGTTTGCTACTTTTTAGGGATTTACACGTGCATTTTTTAGAACTGCGTCCCAACTCTCGTGTTATTTAAAGATCAACTATTGTTTGAAAGTCATATGCGGAGAGATTTATTCCAATAAATTTATTCATTTAAAATAAGTGTTAGCTGCTACTACCTGAAATGCATTTCATTTTGACGAAAGCTTTGCTATCGTTTGAGTTTGTGAAAATTTCTGTGAAATAATGATGATCATTTTAAAAATTAAATTCATAAAATTTCTTTCGGCTAAATTTTCAGGTATGTGTAAAATACTGAATAAAATTTTAAGTTACTGAAACGGTTAGCTTATCATAAATATATGGTAATGTTAGGCAAACTTTCTCTAAATGTTCTTATTTTCTTGCAGCTTAACAAGCCTGTGAAAGCAGAAGGCAACGTGGAATGCTGGCTAATGAATTTACTAAAGATGTCCCATCAGTCCCTGCATTCTGTGATTCGTAAAGCAGCTCTCTCAACTACTAGTCCTAAATTTACTCTTATGGAATTTCTGAGGGAATATCCCGCCCAGGTTGTGCTTAAATATATCATATTTTGTAATTCTTAACACAATTAGAAAAGCTACTGAACTCCCTTGATTTGAAATGAAATGTACATTTTATTTTAAATAATTTTCCTTTCTTTTAATTTTACTCTTTCTGAGAACTTGAAATTAATTTTAGAATCATTGTTAATAACACTTAGATCATGTCGCGTAAAAATGAGCTCCTCCATTCCATTGCAGGTCGGATTGCTGGGCCTACAAATTATATGGACTCGGGAATCTGAAGTAGCTCTATCTTACTCAACTCAAGACAAGAAGGTGATGTCTCAAACAAATGAATTATTCCTCGAACTTCTCAATACACTCATAGAAGAAACGACGAAAGACTTGGATCCAGTAGAACGTACAAAATTTGAAACATTCATTACTATTCATGTCCACCAAAGAGATATATTTAATGATTTGGTAATGAACCCTTAATATTCTAGTATTATATTATACTTTCTCTTGTTCCACATAAACTACTAGAATAGACCCTATAATGACCTGGCAAATTCTCTCAGAGGCGTGAATAAAACTACTGACTCAGACGAAGGGTAAAAATAACCCTTTATTAATTCAAAATAAATTACAGAAAGGCACGGTCTTCGTGCGTTACAAAGACACCGTCAACTTGCTGTGGAAATTAAACGTAGAATAAAGTGTAAGTCAAACCTAAAATAAATAGTGCAACATAGCACTTAAGTTACACCTAAGAGGTGGTGGACTCACAAGAACCTAACCGGCGTGAGGCTAAATCTGATATGGCTTGCTAGCGTAACAGCGAAATAACAACGAAACGTGCGTTTGGCTAGCGAAACACGCTCTGAAAAAGTCATATTCACCCGTTTAAATATGCACTTCAAGTAACTCCTAATTTACATCCTGGCGAAAGAATGTGAGGGGAAATTGAGAAGCCTAGAATAGGTATCAAACTTAAAATAAATTTGTTGTGCAAAATAAGGAAAATTCTACAATATAAATCTATGAAAAATTTATTAATTCTTAAATTATATTAAGTTATTAATTGGAGCTTTCGAGAAAGGCCAAAGTTTAGTTTCAGCACAACAGCAGAATTCAACAGAACTGTTGTTAACACAGATGTTATAAGTTTTCAACTCTCGAAGTTAATTTTGACAGAATTCAGAATGTTACATTTCTTGTTTTTATTCTAGGTTCAAACTTCAACTTATTATTAATAATTTCTTTATCATGTAAATAGCATCCTAGTCACTTCTTTTTTAAACAAATGGTGTTAAATACCAGGAAAAAGAATTAAAACATATATATTGGATCACTACGGGTATACTTTTTATATCTAACTATTAGAGCAAAGTGGATGTTAGAGAAATCCTTCTGAAGTTGTATGAAACTTAAAATCCTTAACGTAGAAATTACGAAAATAGAGTTGTGATAAGGAGCTCCTGTCTGTAAAGTAGACAGTTACTGATTCATTCATTTCCATATCATAGTATACACGAAACTGCAGTATTTCTATAAAACGTTCTCTAAAATACAAAATTATAAATAATTGCCAATTATTAATTAAGTTTTGAATATGTTATATTACATTTAAATATGCTGTAATTTATTTAGCCATTCTATTCTTCTTATAATAATTCTGCATTTCAAAAAGGGGAGAACAGCAAGCAATTCGTAACACAGACGCTTCATTTGTTTCCCACATCACAAAGAAAAACCCATGCGAGCACAACAAATACGTTCAGACAAACATAAACTATACAGCCATCTTTATTCCGGGCAAGGCCATGGAATGATGCGTCTATGATCTTCAGAGAGAAAGTACGGAACGATACGCTTTTAACCTTTCCGGCAACTTTTATAGTATGCAAAGGTCTGTTTTATCGGTAATAATAATTGTTTTATTACTAAACGCCAGAGGTCTCATCCGGTGGCTTCTCTGCATGCAGTTTCTCGCTCAGTTGTTTACCTTCAGATCTGGTGATCGCAATTGTCACAGCATTCTAGTTGCTACAGCTCGAATAGAACTAACTTGTTAATATTTTGAAAGTTTTCTTCTTCTAATGCATATACACTTATAAACAATATTTTATAGACTCTCTCTCTCTCTATATATATATATATCATCTTTGTGCGAGCGCACGTCTAAAAAAATTCAGAGTTGAAAGAAGGCTAACATAGTTCCAGTTATGTGCCTTGTTTAAGCGATTTCATATAGAGAGATCCAGCATCCTACCATATTATTGTATTCTGTTGTTGTTGTTGTGATTTATATCACTTTTGTCACAGTAATATCAGAACGAGCCCACGAAATTCAATGTAGCAAGGACAGCAAGGTTGTGCCTGGCATTGGCAACAGCCTTAAGCACCATACAGGTGACTTCTTTCCCTATACCTCTTTCCCTACATCCAACCTCTCCAGAGGACTTTCGGCTCGCCGCATATTTAGAGTGCCCCCATGCCGCACAGATACTATACATTTACAAACATCCATGCCTTCTCCACGATTCGAACCCGGGCTTTCTGGTACGGCAGTCAGCGTCGCTAACCGCTATCCCGTTTGGGCGGCATATTATTGTATTCCTGTAAAGGTAAATCGGGCGTATGCAATTATTTTAATACAGGGCCAATGTGCTGATTCAAGTCATAGCATAGAGTCGTTACTTGTTAGAGAGAAGCCATTCATCGTGTCTCTCTTTTATCAAGATAAGGGCAAAGAATGGGTAGGTAGACAGATAATTTATTAAAAGTAATGTTTATCTACAGATCTATTGTGTACATTTATAGATAATTAAATGATAAAACTGTGTAGAATTTAGAGCAAGAGTGTTGCATTCCTGTGACTGAGAGGGAAACTAAAAGTTACGTATTTTTTCAGTAGTATTCGTTTCATACTTTTATATTTATATATCTATATATATATATATATATATATATATATAATAGGTAGAAGAAATATTGCAGCGAGCTAGCTAAAAAGTTACCAGGAGCTGTAGCTCCACGAAATAGTTCAACGCAGTATTACTAAAATATTAACATAGAAGAAATTTTTTAAAAAAAAAATTATTAACATGGAAAAAAGAAAAAAACTGCTTACACGCGAAATAAAACTGTTTAAAATCAATGTTGGAAAACATGTGAATGCACGCAAAAACTAATCTAACCGTTGTGATAAGTGAAAAGTTAATACACATAAAAATAGATCGACGGAACAAGTTAAAACAAAATAAAATTTAAAAATAATTAAAACATAAATTGCAAAAATTATAATGAAAACATAAATTGAAAAATTACAAAAAAATACAATAATTACAAAGCGGAAAATGGTAAATTAACCCAGTCGGACCATCAACCAGGCTTTTCAAGGGAAAAATGGTTGAGTGTCGAACTAGGCCAACAGTTTTTTCTTTTTTCCATGTTAATAAATTTTTTTAAAAAATTTCTTCTATGTTAATATTTTAGTAATACTGCGTTGAACTATTTCGTGGAGCTACAGCTCCTGGTAACTTTTCAGCTAGCTCGCTGCAATATTTCTACCTATTATTTCATATTTTTGTAGCATTCTGCGCAAAAAATTTTTAAGACCAAATAGGTCTTACATCTCATTACTTGTTAGCTTTTCAATTTCTGTTTCGATTATATATATATATATATATATATCTGTGAATACATACATACCTGTACACAATAAGCAGCCCAAAAGGGAAGCATTCCTCTTCTTCGATTTCTTGATAACAGATATTAAATAGCATGAAAAATAGTTAAAAATGGGAGTATTTTCTAATAAATAACACAATTAGAAAATTTCAAAAATTAATTAAAGTTTATACATATATAATTATAATAATTTCGTAAATTATTATCAGTTCAATATGAAATCATATAATAGAGCAATTTTTTAAAAATAGCAGAAAATAGATCTACTTCATAGTTCATTTTAAATGGAAAAGCCTTTCCTTTTACTTTCTTTTCACCCACGCTTTTCATGTCAGAATGTAAATGAGATAGCGAGAGTTTATTCAGATTAAGGTAGAATGAAGTGCTATGTAAGCAAGAGTTTCGGAAGAGTTAGTTTTAGAGCGTGTCTGCCTATTCCAGTCTACGTTATTAAGCAACTTCCGTTATCGGCGTTGATGTGTTCTCACTTTCAAGCTTGTCTCGCCAGTTATTACAGACCAGAACTCTTCCTGCGCGTTAAAGTATTCTGTGAGCCGTCAGGCTAACCTACCACACTTTGAAATTATTATTTGTTACGTATTTCTGTTAAGCCGGAAGTGTTGGCTTCTTGTAACACAAGTTCGGTTTTTGTTAATTTTATGCTTGAATGAAAGGGTCTTATACTTCCTTCTTCTGATCTGTGTTCCTTCTTCTGATCTATATATATATATATATATATAATAGGTAGAAAATTTGCAGCGAGCTAGCTAAAAAGTTACCAGTTTTCACAATGGTTTCACAATGGCTAAAAGATAATTCTTAAAGAGTATTTTTAAAAGTTTATGTTTCCTAAGAGACACAGACTTTATAACTACCATTTTTGTGATTCTAAAGACACTACTAAATGAATCTGCAGAAGTACAATATAATGTGTCAAAATTCTGCCCTTTTAAATGGAAATCTCGACTTCATATAAGGAACGTTGAATTGCATGGTCAGAAAAAGATTGCATTACAAATGTTGACGCCATATTAAAATTACGAATCTGCACCTTTTGCAGCTTACATTTACATTCATTTCCAGTGTTAATTATTGATATTTTATAGTATTCTAAGAGAAGTAGTTACATAGTCTATGAGATAAATAAATGAGATTTATTGTACAAAAGACATTAATGCAGTTTTTTTTAAGCGCCTGCCAAGCCTTTAATCAGAATATCCTTGAAATAGTATCTTCATAAACTAGCAGTTTGTGCGTGATGCTGATGCAAAACTTAGGTTTCTTTCCAAAAATGCCAATATAAGGCTTATTTAGTTACTAGTAGTATTTCCCGCCCAGTTAATCGGGATAAAACCGAGACCGATGTTCGCGATTAATTCACTTACGGTTAATCAAAAGGCAGTTAATGAAAAGGGCGCAGAAAAGTAAATAATCGTTTCTGTAACAAATCAAAACATATTGTTAAAAATTTACCTTAATTTTCAAGCAGTTTAATCTGGAAAATAAATTTATTTGAAAAAAAAATGCTAATTCCACCATAACGGGACAATCATTGGAAATGAAGAAACGGTGTTGTAAATGGCGTTAAGAAAAACATTTGAGCAATGATGTTCAGTTCAAACTCGCACACACAAAAAAATTATTTTGGCAGAAATCATCCAGTACGCGTCATCTGCTATCTCCAATAGTTCCCGCGTTTTTCTTACGATGTTTTCCGAAGACAGTTTTGTTTTAAGCTGATGGCTTTTGTGATCGTAAATTTTCCCTAATTCTGCAATAAATAAACT